TGCTCCTTGACGCTCCTCCATGGCCGGTGCGTTTCGAGCTTTTTCTTAGCTCGATTTTCTCATTTCCAGCTGTAATCGCTTCGGAATCCAACCTTTATCCGATACAGGGAAGTTGTTTACAGGTAAAAATTCCTGGCGCCATGTCTTTCTTCGTATTCCGTTTGCATTTTCTTTAGCGCTGGTTCTGATCGTTGAAGGATGCTGACGATGCTGATTTTCTTTTGGATTACCTTGAGACTGATTTCTGTTTGATCGGATTTTGGTTTTCTGCATCTGTTTTTGTTGATCTTCTGTCAGTGGATGTTTATCCTCTGTAAACTGTATGTTTTAATGCTTAAGAGAGCTTTTCATCTTGATCATTTAGATTATCTCCTCGATATCATTAATGGAGTAATCCAGCTGCTGTGGATAAGTGCAAAAGATGAAAACGATCGGATGATGTTTCATACTATAAAAGATGCTCGGCTACTGTTTGCGTTTAGAGTCATTAGACTGCAGTGAGACCGCCATTTTTAGGCGGTGCTGTATTTTTGGTTTGCTTGTTTGGTAGTGTAATTCTTAGCCTTTTTCCATTCTATTGTCCATTTTAAGTGGCATCTGCTGCCTTGCAGATTAGTGATTGGTGACTCTGTTGGCAGAGAACAATGAAGAAAAGGCCTTTATATCAATCGAAGCATCCATTTGATGCATATCGTAAGTATTTACCTATTGTCTTTCACCGGGATTTTCTTTTAGCTTGTTGATTGGCTAAATTTTATTTTCTCCCATTTAATTTATAAGAAGAAAAGATTTGACATTGCTGTTATGATTTATTGTCAGTTCATACTTCATTACAGGACTAAGATAACAGTATATGTTGAACTTTGTTGCTAAGTGCAGTTTAAGAAATCTTTATTCTTTTTACTAGTGTTATTTGTTATAGCTTCTCTGATCTTTCTGCATGACAGCTTTTGAATTTCCCTATTGTGGATCCTGGCAACCTGTGGAGCTAATTAGAATTGACAATGGGATTATGACTATGCATCTGGCAGATACTCAATATTTGATTGAGGAGACACGACCATTCTCAAATGTTCGAATTAAGTCAAGACAGGCAAATTTAAATGACTGCACTTGCTTTTTGAGGCCTGGTGTTGATATATGTGTACTTTCAAATTCCCTGCAGGCAGACAGTTCAGATGAAGCAAATTTGGAGCCTGTAAGTTATTTATTACTAATAATTTTATGGTCAGCCACTTTGATCTTCATTTTAACTGCATGAAGTCATTTGGACATGACACCTGTATTTATAAGATGAGTTCAAGATTTTTTTTTTTTTCTCGTTCTTTTTAATTTATTTGCAGCAGTGACTTCTGTACCAATTGACATTTGACAGAGTTCTCATACATATAGTTATATACATACCTCAGAATATCTTACAGCAGCACCAATCATGTTTTGTTTTGTTTATAAAGAGAAGCTTTTTATGTGCATGCACAGTGCAATGCTCTTGGGGAAAGGGATGGGGCATGTGTCTCTCAAGTGATAGGAGAAGGTGGTATAGAGGCTGTTTGGTATGGCAGTTTGAAACCAGCTGTTAGTAATTTTGTCTAATCCAATGAATAAGAATGCATGAATTATTCATGAGAACAATTATCAACCAGTAATTTAGACAAAATCATTAACTATTGGACATTAGTTTCAAATCGCTATGTCAAACATCCAATTAAACTGATTTGAAAACTTAATATTACTTCTTTTTTGTGACTGTCAAAAAATGTAATCGTGTTGAACTTCTAGGTTTATGGATTATAATCATGTGAATATATGACTAGTAATTTTATATGGTTCCTAAATGTTCTATCTTGCTAATATTACCATTTTATTCTTTACTTGGCTTTTCTGGATGTATGCAATTATGTTCACTATACTCTACTATGTATCTGTGATTAAGTTGTAATTGTCATAATTAAATTTGATCTCTTGATTCTCCTTTTCATTAGGTGTGGGTTGATGCTAAAATATGTTCCATTGAGAGGAAGCCCCATGAGTCTCAATGCTCATGCCTATTTTATATAAATTTCTACATTAATGAAGGTCCTCCCGGTTTGGAGAAATTAATGCTCAGCAAAGATACTGAGACAGTTGGGCTCAGTCAGATATCTA